TAAGGAAAGCCAGGTATCTCAAGTTAAAGAATTTAGTGCTTTTCTATGTATCAATTGGCCTCACTGAATTCATTCTTTATACAAGCACCTAGCTATCTAGGGCAATTATCCTGTCTTTTTATTCTCAGTCTCTTCAGAGGGCACCATTGTGAGTGGCTGTAGAGGCTGGACTTCAGGCCTGTTCTCGCTGGGGGGTGGTTTCAGCATTCTTTGTTTACTGACATGGTTCTAGTATTTTCATTCACATTGTAGTATTTTGATTCACAGACTGTGGTAATCTGGAAACTTGGAAAGGAACCAAGATGGAATTACTGCAGGTCCCTTCTACTTTAATATTCCGTGTGCAAACATAAACACGGATGAAGCATACATTTGAATTTGGTGGTGTAGGGAAAGATTTCTGCACATTACAGGAGAAGGCAAGGCAGAATTCCTCTTCATTGATGGCAGGGATGTGGGTCCACCTGTCTTTTCTGTAGTGGTTTCTGAGAGCAGTTTATGGTAATTAACGAACATTGAAAAACAGTGGCACACATTGCATTTAAGAGCTGGCCTGTGCAAACTTGTGTATTGGACAGGTGGATTTCATAGGCAAGTGGTCAGGTGGATTGGAGAGAGGTGTAGCCCAGGCCTGGGCTCAGATTCAGGTTTAAATCACCATTTCCTTACCATTGGGTCTTGGACTAGAGTGTAACATCCCTTAAACTGTTGGTGAATGTGTGAAATGTGCATTATAATAGTTGTTTATTCCTGGGTTTGTTGTAAGTTGTAAACAATATTATAACACACATGAAACACTTAACAAACAGGCACTTAGCAGTGTTCACTGTGTGCGGCCGCCCCGCTAAGCGTGTGTCAGAGCCGTAAAGGCAGCATGTGTCTGTTGAGGACGCACTGGTAGCCCCTTGAATAGGTTGTGAATTGGGTGATTTCCTTTAATCCTTGAAACTCTACGTGCCATGGGCAGTTATTTTCATGGACAGATGAGGATAGGGTAAAGAAGACTGTGTAATTTGCCCAAAGTCAGACCATAATTTTGGGTGCAGGGGCCTCGGTACAGCATGGGCCCCTGGGCTTTCTGCCCTCTCCGTTCAGCCCCAGAGCCAGACGTGGGGTCGCCTGTTTCCCAGCCCAGAGTATACAGTAGGCAACAACACAAACCTGGACCTGTGCTGCTTAAGCAAAAACTCCAGAGGGGAGGAAGGTATTAGAGGGACAAATGTAAAAACAGACGACTGCACACTGTGATCAGCTCTGAGAAGGAAAGGATCACGTCTCTCCATGCAGAGCTGGGAGATTTCCCGTCGGGGCTGCTCTGAGGGTGTTCATTTCAGCTAAACAAACTCCGCTCCTGCACCAAGGTAGGAAGGCAGGGCGCGTGTGGCCAGGTTGACTGGGCCTCGTTGATCATACTCATTCCCCATTAAGCGGCAGCTGTCACCGGCACTTACCTAGTAAACAGGTGTCGGCCATAATCATCACGCACTTTGCTTGGTAGTTTTATTGGTCTCAAATTTGAGATGAGGTCATTGAAACTGGGGAGTTTGCTACATGCCCGTGATTACCTTGGAAATAACCCCACTGGTCTTTCAACCTAGACTGATGTGGCTGTTATATCCCAGCTTTGTGACTGGCATCGTGTAGCTTCTACCAATTGGCCCAAATGGCTGACATTGATTTTCTTAATCCATAGGAAATGGTATGTGACAATAAGAGAAAAACGTAGTAAGAAATTGTTTGGAAAACTACAACAAAATCCAGTACTTCCCCAGATGGGGTAGCGTACACAGTGTCACTCATTCCACTCACAGCCTGACACCTCCTCCCTGCCGACCCTGTGTTCAGAAGCCACTCTGAGCATATGAAGAACATTTTGCCTCATGTCACTTTTGACCAAGACCTGTGACCTCTCTGTCCCTGGTTAACTCTCTCTTCAAAGCCATTTAAATTTTATGCAGGCTCCTCCGCTCAGATGTAAGAAAAGCCTCTTTAAACTTCTTGATGCAGCTCCTTAATGAAGATCTTGCGAAGGAAACCTAGTCAAAACCTGGGATGTATGCACATAGTGACTGTAATCTCAGCATTTTGTGAAGTTCAGAATCAGAGGGGTGGGAGACTCAGGAAAGGCTTTTTAAGGGAGAAAGGGGAAAGTGAAAGGACGCAGGCTGTGTGAGACTGAAACATCTCAGTCCCAGCCAGCAAGGCACCTGCGTTCAGGATGGTGTGTGGGGAGTACAGAGTTCCCACAAAGAAAGAAGTGGTGGGATGGGAGGGAGGACAGATAGATTCTTTACTAGGGAAGGAAAAAGTGGGCTGAAAACTTCCTGGTTGAATAAGAGGACTGTGACATGATGTGCTTGTATTTTGGAGAGAAGGGTTTTGTGGGGACAGGCCTAGGAGAACCCTCTCTGGATGGGGAGTCAGCACAACAGGGAACCACAGAGAATCTGGGTTCCCAGGGCCCCTGCTGGAGGAAAGGCTGCCCGCCAATTCGAGCCCTGGGGGCTGCTTCTGTCCCTTAGCTGGGGCCTCAAACCTCCCTTCACATCCCAGTCCTGTTGATACAAGAAAACAGATGTAGGGCATGAGAAGGGCTGTGCGCCAGGCTTTGGTTGAGCCCCTGGAATGTGCCCCACCAGACGTGGGTCCTTGGCTTCATACAGGAAAGAATTCAAGAGCAAGCCACTGTTGAGAAAAGGTATATTTATTCACAGAGTCACATTGAAAGGCAAGAGATAGGCCACGAGGTGTTGGGGGTTTTATGCTCAGATTAAAAGTAGGTACACACTCCACAGAGTGTGGGCCTTCTCCGAAGAGGGAGAGAGGGGTGACCGCGAGGTGGCGCTGTGTTGCTGGTTTT